GTGATCAAAATAAATACCTCTTATAAAAAGAAATTTATATGTGCAATGATTGTTTTTTTTTGTACTGAAGAGTGTTTATATCCATTCCATGTATTATTGTAAATTATGTTTTGTGTAAATGACATCACTAGTTGAACATAACTTTGACTTCTTTTTATTCATTTTTTTTTATTTTTACCATAGGATTGTATTTATTCTATTGTATTTGTATTTAGAATTTCCAAGTCTGTGATGCGTGAATCTCATCAAGACTGATATCTGTACTTTTTAATATTTGAAATTGTACCTTTGTTGTTGTTAACAATATTTGTATTAGTTCGTCAATGAAAGAGTTAGTTATATACAGACGTTTTTTTTTTATATTAAGCAGCATTGGTTAATGAAACACCACAGTCCATGATACTACTAAACTTCAATTAATATTCATGAGTACATAGAAAGTAAAAATTAAAATCTGTTTTTACAATTAACAAACTTCAATAATGATAAAAAATTAAAAATGATGAGAACATACTTTGCTCATAATGAAATTACACTACTGCCATTTGTAATCTCATTATACTTAGCAGAGGGACAGTGATTCTAGCAATCCCATGATGCAACACCATGTAATCAAATATATTTGCAATAATTAACATTGTGTTATTTCTTTAACTATTTTTTTATTTCTACTTCCACTTTCATTTTTAAAACATTCTCTTCGTGAGATGTTATAAACCAATTCCTGTATAAAATCACAACTTTTCTCTTCTGTTGACTGATTCACATCATTTGAAAACTTGGTTCATACTTCATGTGTTAATATTATGCAATGTTATTGTGGTTTGAATAAATGTACTATATGTTTCTGTAAAATATAAAAAGACGTGCTTCCAATGCAAAAACTGTACGTTAATTCCTTTTTAAGTATGATACCATTTCTTCACTATTAGACATGCATGAGATGTTCATATTATATATTTTTTTCTCTCAGTTTAACAATTCAAAATAACTGTGGACATCTATTCTGAATGATTGAAAAGGTACCTTTTAAATATCAGCATTATCTTAATGTTAAACTATATAGTCATGTGGAATTTCAGAACAATTCTGTAATCTAAAGATAGAATCCAACTCTGCATTTTTATTCACCCTCAAATCTTGTTCTAGATCTATCACTGAAATGGCATGTTAATCCACAGTCCCTCTATCCTCTATAGGAGGACTGTGGTTAATCTGAGCATAATTATCATTATGTTAATGTACCATCCTTGTATACTGTAATGGAGGACTCTGCATTCGCTAATTGCATATTTGGCAAGTAAATTCAAATGTTGCTTTTGCATTTTTGCATTTGTATATCATGCTTTATAAATCATTTCTGTCAGTGTTAATTAACCATTTGAATGTCGGTGATTCTTCTGTCATCTTTTACAAAATGAACTCCTAATTTTCTTTAAAATGTTGATCAAGACCTGAAAAGAATGGAAAATTCTGTCCAGTTAAAAATAAAATAAAGAAAAATGAGTACAAATGTGCATAATGTTGCACAAAAATTTGTGGGGGAAATGTTTTTCTGAGGGATTTCCTGACTGGCAAATATTTTACTCTTCCAATAATTAAAATCACTGATTTTTACTTAACACAGAGATCAAAAAGTCACGTTTCTTGTACAAAACAAAAAAAAAACAAAGCTGAAAACTTTGCTAAGGGTGAAATGATCTTTAGATTTCTTTGATCTATGAAATTGGCTGTCAGGCAATCCCTTAGACAAACATTGTCACAGCACATGCACTACCCTATTTGCATATATCTAAGCTTTCAGAAAATATATAGTTTGCTATAGTAGCATGCCCGGTAACTTTTAGAGAATGTCTGAATCACTGATCAATTTTTAACTCATTTTCCCCTTGTACCTTAATGCATGGAATTCACAAAGCATTTACATGATCACAATACTCTATATGTGTATTAGCCAAGTCCTGAGAATTACTTTTTTTAATGATGGTTGCATGAGGTGAACCCTTAACAAATGTTTATCCCTAATATTTGTCCTTTTTATTAATAGAATTGTGTTCAATATTTGTGTGTACATGTATTGTCTTGAAATTATTATTAAATAGAAATTATTTCAAAAACTGTGCCTGTTTTGATTTGATTTATATGCCATCTTTAACCTTTACTCTTTGGACACTTGAAGTATCGCATTGATTCATATAATTAAACCATTCTGTCAATGAGAAATTTCAGATAACATTAACAACAAAATTTTATTGCAAAGAGTATGGACTACAGACTATCTCATTCCAAATAACTCTTAAGTAGTATCTATAACCTTTTGGCCACCATGACAGAGCAAACAAAACATTTTATCAACATTTCTCGCTCCTTCCTTTCGGATCTCATAATACTCATTCAAAGTAGGGTACATAGAAACAGTGATTATTACACATTGATTCTGAATGATTTGTTTTGTGGTGTGATAAGCTCCAAGAAAACAACTAGGCACTGTACATCCTAATCAAATTATTGTTGTTTAATTAGTAAAATATAGGTTTACAAAACCTTGAATCTAATATACATCAGCAATCAAATTACATGTGTGAATAACTTCAATTTAATTGAGAATTTTTTTTGATTAAAAATGGTACTGAAAACCTATTTTCAAGCTTTGGTCTTCAAATCAGTGTCAGTTCAGATATACTGGGTGAATATGCACAATTTTCAAGCCTCGACTGATTATTGCCGTGGTTGAGGATCCAGAATCGGTCAATGCTTGGAAAATGCAATGTCTGTGAGTAATTCCAGTCCAAAACATAGTTTATAAATCTATTTGCCAAAAACAGTCATTGGCCAATTTAAAAAAAACTGTAGTAATATTGTCAGGTTGTGAGTTCCAATGATTTATTATTCTCTGAGTGAAAATTGCCTACTCAAACCAATTTGCGATGTTTTTTACCTAAATCCTAACTGTCTCAAAGGAATATTTGAAAATGGAGTGTTTTATGTCACTGTCATTATGAGTTGAAGATTTTATAGAACAATGTATGAAAAGAAATGATTTGGTGCCAAAATATATTTTTGATAAAATGGGAACAGTGCATTTTAAATACAGAGGACATGAAAATCCTAATTTTACGAATACATATTTTATTTCACTTGTCACATTTGTGGTAGACATGCCGTTTATTATTATGAGACTTTGAAAAATCTATGAAGGTCTAGTGAATCAGTCGAGATAGTCCAGTCAATTTATGGTTTGACCCATCACAAATTGCAACAGAAATATTTTCTTGCATCCCGGGGAGGTGACTAGATTGACACACTAAAAGTCTAGGAAAATCTAGGCTTCCGAAATGTACCTAATTTGCATATATTCCACGCCATAGGGTGAGGGGGGAACATCGATCCTAGTGACCCAATGTTCAACACCCTACCACCAACCATCCCCACCCCTCCCTCGATCCTGAAACAGTCACTCTCGGTAGGACTGTCACTTCCGGGATCCAGAGTCCTGAATTCGGTATTGCTTTGGATCTCGCCGAGTGCTGGGCACAGACGGTGGTGATGGGCAGACCTTGTCCCCCGTGTAGAGTAGGTCAATTTTATGCTCAACCTTTTCCTGCTGGATCAAGCGGTGTTTGAGACCAGAGCCAGCAGAATCTGGAGTCAAATCTCGTGCCCCAATCGTTCGGTGGGACAGGCAAAGGGGGTGGTTGCATTCATGGAATATTTCCACTGGTTAGTCAGAAACAAAACATGCAC